TTTCCCTCACTCATTGCATCATAGGGAATAACTTAAAATTATCCACATTTGCCTTGTTGTTTCACATTTCACATTTCCTTGCATGTGCTATTGAAGTCTTCTTTCCTTTTCTGTAGCTCATTTAAGACCTAACTCCCTTTTGAAGCTTACCCCGATTTCTCATTCTGCCTCTCTTCTTTGCTTATCTTAGTACCTTGTACATACCTCTAACAGAGGGCTCAGCATACTTGATTGCAATTGTTTGTAGCCATTCTTTCTCTCCTTTTAGACTGTGAGCTCCTTGAGGGCAGGGACTATGTTTTATTTTCCCTTTGTATCTTTAGTGGTAAATGCATGGCTTATAGATGCTCAATAAATGGCATGTTTGTTGACTGGTTCAATTGTTTTTAAATGGCTTAAAAGCCCTTAGGTGTCAAAAGCATTTTCCAAAGACTTTTCCCCTAAGGATTCAAGAGAAATACACTTGCAAATATTGTGTGATTTATTTCCACTATGTCTTTGACTTTGAGTCCCTTTAGCATGTTGAGTTTTCCTTGTCTTTGTATCAGGAATGAGATAGCTGTTCTTAATATGAATCATAAGGATTTTTCAAGCCAACGTATCCCCTCCCCCCCTTTTTTTTTGTATTTTAATAACAATGTAGCTGGACAATAGGACCGTTTGTAAAAGCCATTGTAGGAAACTGGAACCAGAAATTGGATGTAACCCATCTGGGTGGGGCCCATTAGGTACAATAAACATTAATCTGTGTTGTTTTTTTCATTTCATTTTATTCTATTGTTGTAATAAATGGAATAAAAATAATAGAAAATTAGTTTAACTTTCATTTTTTCTCTTTTAGTCTGTCAGCATATATATTTTATATACTATACTAAATTGTACTACACATACAATTTTTTTCCTGCATTTTCTACATATATTTTAAGTTCCTCAGGTTTTTGTAGTCTCCTATTGTCATTTTCAATGTGTATATAATTTTCTATCAAATTTATATTCCATTATTTGCTTACCTCTATGCCTATTATTGACCTTAAGTTTATCTGTACTAAAATTTAAACTCGTTATTGTTGACTCTTTTGATATAACTTCTTTCTAAGTCCTTGAATACAAGGAATTTCAGAAAATATTGCTCTGGATTTTTCTTTTTCTTCTTTTAATAATATATTTGAAAGAATCACCTCCCATTTCCCTGGCTAGAAAAGCACAGTTGCCACAGTAGGGCAGCTTAGCTCAGGCCCATCACATTGCTTGCCTGGGCTCTGGCAGACACCTTTGTATTGGTCTGCCAAAGTATTGTATTGTATTGCTCTGCTCTAGTCTTTGTACCTTCCAGTCATCCACACTGCCACTGTTGTGATTGGTACCCATTTAGAATTTTTCAAAGACTCACTGTTGCCTGTGGGATAAAATTTTAACATATTTGTATGGTGTTTAAGGCCCTCCTTTGTGCCTGTCCAGTCACAATTTGCTGTATGTTCTTCCACCATGACATCAGCCTCATTGAAATGAACTGTTGGAGGTCTGTTTCCTCCACTAGACTGTAAGCTCCTCAGGAACAGAAGCTGCATCTCATCCTCCGTACAGTCCTACACTACAGTCTCAGTACACCACACCCCACCCCCCATTCCTCTAACCCTTCACACTTCCAGCTACAATAATAATGAGCCCCTTTTAGATCTCTGACTTATCTCTTATTTTTTCATGCCTCCAGGCCTTTACATAGCCCTGTACTTCTCTTCTCCTCTTTTTAAAATACAACTTGTTCTTCAAGGCTCGTCTCCAGGACTACCTTTTCCTGACCCCTCTAAGCAGAATTCTTGGCACTGTTTACCTCAAGCCCTCCTTGTGTTGTGTGCATCGACCACCTGCAGTTGTGATTGTTTGCCCTCTGTTGCTTCACTAGGTCATAAGGCTCATTGAGAGGAGGAACTTTTTTTTTCCCTTTTAATTTTACTGCTTACTGTAGTACCTAGCATATGATTAGGTATGCAGTTAAATATTTGCCAAATAAATAAATCAGTGAATGAATGGTGAAGATGTAAGCGTACACATCATGACTTTTTTGAGACATTGATCTTGTAGGACTCAAAATTATATACAGAATTAAATACAAGAATAAAATTATTGGTGTGTACAGTGAAATTGAGAGACCTGCTCTGTGGATCAGGTTAAAAATTGAGCTCACTTATTCACCAGCAGTGTCATTTAAGGACAAAAAGTATCTGCCAAGAAGGAGTTAGGAGTGGAATGACTCCAGTCTTGGTGTGGATGTGAGATAAACCTGCTTATTCTTTCCTGTCCCTTTTGGTACCAGTTCGCCATAGTAACCCATATTGGTATTCTGGGGAACTTATTTAATCACAACACGTGGTGTTCTGACCAGGTCGAAAGCATCTTGGTGACCTATAGTCGTTGATGACCCAAGATACTCAAACTGTTCCTCATTTAAGCTAATTCTACACATTGGTCAGTTGTGTGACATATAGAAAAGGCTACTTCTGTTTTACTTACTGTTATAACAGATTTACTTTGGGTACCTCAACCCAGATGTTAAAATTCTTTCATTCCTTTTGGAGTTTAAGAACTTCATTAAATTCAAGATCCAAACCTTTTTTTTTAAGGAAATGACTTTGTTTACATGGCAATAAATTCTTTATTTTGACCTCCCATTAACCCTTTTACTTAATATCATATTTTACAGTATCTCAGAATTTTAGAAAGTGAAGGAACTTAAAATATTGTTTCATAAGTATTCTGTAGTTAATTTATGTCCAGTTTTGAACTCAATTAAATGCTTCTTTGAAACAGGACTCCTTTGCTTGTTTTGAAATGAAGGTTCACTTCCCCTTCTCAGTGCATTACTCCTACAAACACAGATCAGTAGAATGTCTCACCTGTTTCTTGGCTGAAAGAAAGAGTTCAAGAGAAAGAATTGGTGGGGTAGCACCCCTTGTTATCTGTCAGGCAGGGAGAGGAACCCACTCAAAGGAAACTGAATTCTGCTGTTTGTGTCCGCAGCCAACATCTTAAGCCCTGGGAAGGTGCCTGTCCATGTGTGTACACTGCTGTACACCTCAGTACACTTTAAACTGACTCCTCAGTTCAGTGAAGCTGGCCATTGTCAAGTCTACAATTGGAAAAGAAGAAAAATTCTGCTTATTTAGTGTAAGGTGGGCGTATGTATTCTACTAGGTTTTCAGCAAGAGTGAGACAGATGCTGATCTAACATCCAACTTTAATTTCATTATCCTTGGAATGTTTTTTGCTGTTCTCCCTATTAAACAAAAATGATGATAACTGACCTTTTGCTTTGGCAGGGCAAATATGTTTTTATTGGAAGGAGTTGGAGAAGATACCAAATGAAGAGCATTGTTTTGTTTATACAGTAAAACTTTTTGGTGGAAAGGATG